TGTCTTGCCCTAGCAGCCCTGAGATGTGAGATGAAGGGAAAACACCCAACTGTGAGAGGAGAAAGCTTCCTGCCTCAAATCAAATTGCTATTTGTTTTCACTGTTGAGGTAGGCCAAAAGGCTGCAAAAGCAAAATCCTTTGAGAGTTGCAAGGTTTGACATTGTTAGTAGCATATATATAGGACGAAAGCAACTATATATATATCGTGTGCAGGGCATGTGGTACTGACTTTGACTTTGTGCTGGACAGATATGTGTACCCAAAAGAGCTATCCAAACAAGGACCAAAGTATGTGTTGGAGAGGAGACATCATTCCCAAAGGGTTGTGTGCCAGGTTGTGTATACTCTGAGCCTATCTCCAAGCTGCTGATTCTGTATTGGCTTATAGGGTTTCTCTAGGGGGTTGTTCTGAGGCCACAGAAGAGAGAGGATTCTGCAGGACAGGAGAGGAGAGAGAAGAACTAATGAACTAAACATAAATTCAGTTTACCATAACTCAGGGAGTACTCTGGTTCTGGTTCTGGTTCTGGTTCTGGTTCTGGTTCTGGCTCTGTAGGGACAGACTTTCTAGCAGCAGAGACAGGGATCTCCCAAGTGCCATATATCTGTTTCTGGAAAGTCCCCCAAAATGAGAAGCTGTTCTGGAGAATCTCTGGCTGAAAGGATAATATGCTGTGCTTTATAGCATAGGCTTATCCACCAACATAGGCTCACCCACCAAATAATATTTCACTAAGCTGCCTGAGAACTATGCAGCAGTGTCTCTATTTTACAGGTGTGCAAACTGAAGTGTGAGAAAGTCAAGTGATTTCCTCAAGACCACCCAATGAGTGAATGTCAGGGCCAGAACTGGAACTCAGGTGTGTCTGGCTTCCAGCCCAATGTTTATGCCTTTATAATGCACTACTCTGTTTAACAAGTGCTTATGGCTGAATTTGTTTTTCACCCACTCATTTTGGCTCAGGGAATGAGGCAATAAAAGTAAGCCTGTAACTTGGCTTTGCTGCATGGCTGCCACAAAAGGTCCTGTCAAAGCCAGGGCTGAATTTACACCGAGGTTCTGGCAGTGAGTGGGGTTAGTGTCTGGGGGCACTTGTACACGTGACGGGGGTTTAATCCCCAAAGTTTTATTTTATGCCCCCTAAATTGAAATGGTGTATTTTTAATTGAAACCCATCATTTCAATTTTTCTGTCATGTTACAGCAAAGGGCTCAGTCTTTTTTTCTTTTTTGTCAGAGCTGGAGCCTGCCTGCAGCCAGGGGGAAGCTGCCATTGGGTAGAGTAGCCTCTGAACTCCAGGGGAAACCAGTCCTTCCCTACGCAGCTGCGGTACCCCCCTGGGGCCACCCAGGTAGGCTGCTAGCAGGTGAGTGCTCCCTCAGCCAGAGGCAGCACCCAGCCCAATCCAACTCTTCCCCGAGCTCACCTGCTGGAAGCCTTCCGGGTGCTCCCCTGATAGGCTTGCGGCAGCCAGGCACCTGCTGAAGGCTGCAGCTGCGAGGGGCCCAATCCTTTTTTTCTGTGGAGCCTGCCTGCCTCCACCATGGCCGGGGGGGCAAGCTGACAGCTGTATCGTTGTACTTTACAGCATTGTAAAATAAACTACATCCACGTGGAGTTTAGTTTGCAATGATGCAAAGTCCTTTAAAACCCCCAAAACTGGTACACATGTAATGTTAGGCCACACAAATTGCATTTTTGTCACATGTGCATTGTGACAACCATCACGTGTACAACCTGAACCTCAGGTGGAATTCAGCAGTTTCCAACCTGAATCCACATTGACCTTGACAATTGTACAAAGCATGATCCTGTGCTATAATGCCAGGTTCACATAACAATCAAGCTACCACTACCAAGACACAAGCATGGGAAGCAGAAGAAATAGTCAAAAAGAAATTGATTTTCTCATACACCCCTTATCCTATTCATTACAGATGGTTCACTGGCTTTGTCGCCTTCTTCCATTCATTTATTCTTTCATCTCCTCCCCACCCGTCCTCATTCTTTTACAGTCTCTTAACTCAGCATTTCCCTCATGCCTAAGAAATGTTCCCTATAAGTCTTAGTTAGCGTGCCCTGGTTTGGAGCATAAAAACTGATCCCAGAAAAGGTCAACTGCGGGGTTCAGTGTTGCCTGGGAAGGTGAGTGGATCTACACTCTTGGGAAAAACCCCACTTTAATAAACTGTTTTCATTTCTATTGATATTGCTGCATCTGAGAACAGGAACTGAGCAAATAAGGTCCTGATCCAATTCCTCTGAAGTCACTAGGAATTTAGAAATTTTCCATTAATGCTACCAGGTCATAAACCAACTTGAGTGATTCCAGTAGAGTGCCTGGAAGGGTGACTCGAAATGGGCCTGAGGCACAAAGTCTAAATAGTTTGCTGTGGTCCAGAGTTCAGATTTGGTCTTGGACCAATCTTTAATCCAAGACAAACAAAGGCTGGTATATGCTGTCCCCGCTGGAATGCCTCAAGTAATGGGGTTGAAAGAGGGTTGAGGGTCAAGAGTTAAGAACTGTTTTCATGGCTTCTCTTTTGAATCTTCTCACTCTCCCTTGTATCTTTGGATGCACTCTCCTCTAAATCCAGCCTTTTGCCTTAAATGTTAATGAGAAAGTATTATATCTATTAAGGGCTGAGGCAGTTGCAGTTTTTTCCATCGCTCCCTAGGGCTAGTTCTCCTTGTCCCTTTAATCATCCACTTGTCCTTTCTCTGCACTTGTTTAGTTATGTTTTGTTTGCAGTTGCTTTGAAATGCTGAAACCGGCACAAAGAGTTCACATGATGCAAAAGTGGCATTGGCCTCAAAGCAGCTCATTTATGCAGTGGGCACCCCTTGAGACACGGTAGCTCTGCTTTCTCCGCTGGCCTTAATGGAGAGGGGAAAAAATGGGTTTCCTGCTTGTGAAAATAAAGAGATCAAGCTGGGCTGGAGGCTTCCCTTGGATGATGGGGTGAGGAAGGGCTGGCTACAGTAGAAATTCCTCTTTCATTACAAGTGCAGTCTGCAGTGTCAATACCAGTCTAAAATCCTGCTCTCCTAAAGAAATAGTGCTTGCAGGGAGTCTAAAATGCTACCTGCCAGCACTATGGCTGGGACCTCAAAGTCCTTACTTGGACAAACCTCTCCTGGCTTTGCTGGGACTTGTGCCTGAGTAATCACAGGCCAGACACTGAATAAGTTATGCTCAGTGCAATAGTCTTTGGGTCATGGTGAGAGGTGATTGAGCCTGGGGACACCATCACCTGTCCTGGCCAGTATATCATGATAGTATATGATATTCCAGCCTTTATGAAAGTAGGCACTGGGAGGTGAAGGGGAGATCTGCCTTCTGGGTTAGAAAGTTAATGAAAACACGATCCAAAGTACAGGTAGGGCAATACCTCCTCCTGTTCCCACTGGTTCCAGACGTCCACTCCCAGTGCATTATGGGGAGTTCCCAGCTGTTTGTTCAGCTCTCCAATTTGAACAGGTGCAGAGAAAGTATATTAAAATGACCAGAAAATGGAGAGCCCATTTTACAAGGAAAGTTTAACTGGTTTATTTTAACAAAATGCAGGCTCAAGGGATACTGCTTACCTAGTGGGCACATCTGTATGTGCACTTTAATACACATTAGGCTATTTTAATGTGCATTAAAGCATCACCAAAAAACTATGGGCACCTATGCACATGCAGTGAGGCTGCTCTGACATGCTGTAATTACAGCACATCTGAGCAGACTTGATTAAACAAGTCTGCTGGAGCATGGTAATTACTGTGCTCCAGCAAACTCCAGTGTCCTTTATATCAGCATTCCTCCGGTGAAAACTGGTGGTGAGGTGCTTTAACTAAAGCTCATTCGACAAGCCTTAGTTAAAGCACCCCCACCACCATTTTTCAGCATGGGGATGCTGATACACCTGATGCTTCAGGCGCTTTAATTACAGCAGCTCTCAGAGCCACTTTAATTAAAGCGCCTCCCCTCCCCCCAAAGTACATCTATAAATGCCCTATGCTTTTAGTGAATCCACATTAAAATAGGCTAATGTTCATTAAGCATCACTTAAAAACTGTGCTCTTTAGTGTATTAAGACAGGCTAATGTGCATTTTCCTAGTATCTCACAATGGAGGACACTTTTACACATGCTCTGGTGGTGGGGATGGCATCGCTTTAATTAGAGTGGCTCTGAGAACCACTCTAATTAAAGTGCCACCACATCTCATGTATTAGCATCCCCACACTTTAAAATGGTGGTGGGGGCACTTGAACTAAAGCTCCTTTGATGAGCTTTAGACCAAGTGCTCCCACCACCATTTTTAAGCGTGGGGACACTGATACATGAAATGCAGGAGGTTGCTGGAGCACAGTAATTGCCACACATCAGCAGACTGGATTAATTAAGTCTGATCCAATGTGCTGGAATTCCAGC